ACGTTAACAACAATAACTACTAATAAAATAGAATGATTATAACAATCTTCTGTAACAAAATTTATGTGAATGTGGTCTCTCTCTCTTTCAATATATCATATTTGTACTGTACCTACCAATTTTCCAACTGTGGTTGACCACAGGTAACAGAGAATGTGAAAATGGAACTATAGATAAGAGGAGACTATGGACTACTGTATTTATTGATTTGAGTTATGATTACATGGGCATTCGCTTTAAAATCATTCATTTTAACATATGTTTTAATTCTATGAAATTTTCCTTTTGAATCATGTTTTGGGATTAAAAAATGTTAAAACATAGTGCTTTATTATTTCCTTGCTATTTTACAAATAAATACAGGCTTTAGCATATTTTTTTCTATATCCTAATGACCTGCATACAAATCTTGGAAATTCTGTACTCAGTTTTTGTTTCTATTAGATTATTTACAAATGGAGAAACATTTATGGCCATGCATGATCTATTTATTGACTATATCATATATGATAAATATTATATAATGAGACAATCATGAAGGATTAAAAAAATGAGAAAATATGCACTACTTGAATCTTCAAGGAACAATATTTACTAGCCGTCACAGTATGAACACTGTTACTGTAACTACAAATTCAGCGATACCTTTACTGGAACAGTGGAAGGGAGGGAAGTCGTGTAAACAAGGCTCACCTGTAATATCTGGAGGTTAATAAATGCAATTAAGGGATCAAAAAACTGTTAAAACTTGGATTTCAACTTTGAAGAAAAATTAAATCAGAAAGAGCTGTGGGCAGTTATCTTTGAGCAGTAGGAGTGAGGAAAGGGAAAAGGGGATAAATATTTCATGATAAGTTTTTTGCTTTTGAAGTGCAAATTATGTTTATGTATTACTCTCTCGAGCAGTACTTTCTTCTGGGTGCCAGTTCTGATACGCCCCAGCCTATAACAATTGCCACATGAGGTGTCCTTTCTAATGTCCAATGCCACACATGCCTCTCATTATCCTTATGCTTTGATTTCCACCTTTCAAGTAAGTGTATGTGTACGTGATTTTAATTTATCATCGTCAACATTATTGTACCTTTTTAAATCTGAGAAGTAACTTCTTTGGTCAACTCTGGAAAGTTCAAAATGTTTTTATTTGGTTTTCATGTATTTATTGTTTGTATATTGAAATACAATTTATTTTTGTATGCAGGTAATCATGTCATCTTCAAGAAATTTCATTTTATTGTGAAGAAAGCACATTTACAAAGTGAGTTGCAGTTGGCATAAAATTGTGAAGAAAGTCTCATGCATGTGCCTCTAATGCACAGTGAGAACACAGGTCACTCAAGCAAAGAGGCGTCACATCGTTACGGCTCCTTGCTGCGTGTGTCTCCGGCTAGTTATCTGGCTCTTGTGCAGGGCATGAGAACTACACGTCTACTTTATATTTTATCTGTGTAATTTAGCCAGTTAGTTTTTGCTGTGTGCCATGAAGTTGTTTGAGGTGTTAAGTGAATATTTTATTTTTATGACATTTCATAGTACAATACCTTGAATATTGTTTTGTACAAGTAATAAACAAGAAAACACAAAAAGAAATCTGATGACTTCTCTATTTCTAGAAGTTCTACTTGAAAACCAAAGAATTTCTTCTCTAACTTAAATTTTGTATAATACATTATCATACATACATGATTAAAGTAACTGACAACATTCTTTGGGGTAATTTTCTTAGCCAGCTTCCTAATTTAAGTAGGTACACTTTTTATCTTTCATGTTACTGTGGGTGGCAGTATTACCAAATTTCTGCCGTGATAACATGGGCTGCTCTTCCCCTAGTATCCAATAGCAATTTCCTCATTGTTTTTCTGGCCTTAACCTACCCACCATCTCTATGCAACCCTTCCACCCTTGTCTACCACCAATTCCATACAAAAGGCCATTATTTTGGCTTTTGGAATAACAGCACAGCACTTCCAGGACTACCTTTTACCCATTTCTGTGAAACAAATCACTCTAGAATTTATTGACATAAAACAACAATAAAATATAACTTTCACGGTTTTGTGGGTTGGACAGTCTCATCCAGGTGATTCTTTTACTATATAATGTGGGCAAATTCCCTGGGGAGCTTGACTAGGACCCTAAAGGTCCAAAATGGCTTTACATGACTATTGCTATAGCTATGTGACTTTTATGGCTGAGAACTAGATGGACCATCTCTCTCACAAGGTATTCTACGTGTTTACACAGTAGCTCAGGGCTCCAGGTAAAAGTTGAAATTGCCTATCTTCTTAAAAGCTAGGCCTGAAGTAGCAAAGTGTCACATGATGAGCATGTTATTTATCAAATATACAGTAGGCCAGCCCAGATTCAGAGAACAGCGGCATGAAGGTGCAGTAAAAGGGTGCAGTAAAAGTACAAGGAGAACCAACCAGGGAAGCAGTCTCTACAGAAATTCAGGAGGACAAAAGGCCTTTGTAATGTTAGAGTAGAAATAGCCAGCAGGCAATGAGCTGTGTGAATATAGAGCCCGAGAGAGTGTTTGGTGAAGGATGTAAATGTTGGAGTCATCAGATTATAGGTGTAATTACCAAAATTCTATATGGATATTTGCAACATTTTGTACCAATTAAAAAATTTCATTCACAAGTATATACAATAATCCACATTATTTATAAAAATGCAACAGCAGATAAAAAAATGCCACTTTCCATTAATCTAATGATTTCCTCTTTGTTTGAATTAGATTACAGTAATTAGCTTCTTATAACTAGTTTCAGCACTTTTTTTTTTTTTTACTACTTTCTAACAAAGGATTCAAATAATGAGCTAATTGCTGAAAAGACAGGCATGACCATGATACTGTTGAAATTATTGGTTATCAGACATATAAGAACACAAGTGAATTGTCAGCTACTCAGTGTATGAAGGTTGGCAGGTCCCCAATAGGATACAGTATAAGACCACATTATCATTTCAAATATGGCTGACTTGCTGAATGAATGATGTTTAGATAACTGATTAATCATCTGAGAAAAATAAAGAAGCTAAATCCCTACACCTCACCCAAAATAAACTTCACTGAGTGTAAATATTAAAAATTACACTATGAGAACACAAGAATGGTAGAAAAATATTCACTTAATCCTAGAACAGAGAGGCCTAAGAATGCCAAAAATAGCAAGGAGGCCAAAAATCTCAAGTTGGTGGATTAGCATATACAGAAATTAGATAATGTATTATTACAATAAAAACACACAAAAAATTAAAAGTTAAAAGCAGAAAACACATATAATATATGACACAAAAGGGCAAACATCAAAATATATTGATTGCTTACAAGTCAATAATACAATAGATAATTTTTCTAATGAAAGTGGATAAAAGAAATAAAGAGAAATTTCTAAAAGAAAAGCAAACAGTCAAAAATCAAAGAGTATTTAATATCATTAGGAACCAAAATTGAAAGTTATAAAATAAAACAAGAAGAAACCACTGTTTATACTTAAGTTATATTTAAAAATCTTTTTGATTAAATATGTATTCCCCAGTATTTGGCAGAATATTTGACTTGAACTCTGATAGTGGAAAGGTAAACTGCATAGAACGAAACCACCATTAAGAACAATCCTTCCTGCATCGATTTGAACTTCACATTTCTAATTTTAGAAATTATTGGTTAGAACATCAATTACAAAGTATAGCAACTTGTACACAAAATATGTATAAGTGTAGAGTAACCTAAATGCAAAATAACAAAGTATCATGTAAATAATACTAGTACTTATGCAGAAAAAAAATCTTGCAAGATATATTCTAAAATTTTGCAGAGGTGAACTCTGGTCATGAGATTGATTTTCTTCCTCTTTTAGTTGATTTTAGAAATTTTCTATATATATTGCAAGGGTAACTTTCATCCATTAAAATATTCATGCAAATATAACAACAAAAAATAAATAAATAGGACTTGATTAAATAAAAGCCTTCTGCACAACAAAGTGAATAATCAACAGAGTAAATAGATAACCTATAGAGTGGGAAAAAATATTCTCAAACTATACATCCCATAAACAGCTAATATTCAGAATCTATAAAGAGCTCAAACAAACCAGCAAGCAAAAAAAAAAACAATGCCATAAAAAATGGCAAAAGATATGAACAGAAGTTTTTCGAAGAAAGGTAGACATATGGGCAATAAATATATGAAGACACGCTCAATGTCAGTAATGATCAGGGAAATGAGAATTAAACTACAATGAGATATCACCTCACCTCTGTCAGACGGCCATTATTAAAACGTCAAAAAATAATAGATATTGGTGAGGATGCAGAAAGAAAGGAATGCTTATACATTGTTGGTAAGATGGCAAATTAGTGCAACCTCTGTAGAAAATAGTACGGAAATTCTTCAGAAATATAGATTTAGACATACTGTTCAATCCATTAATTCCACTACTGGGTATCCACCCAAAGAAAAAGAAGTCACTTTATTAAAAAGACACCTACACTAAAATGTTTATTGCAGCACAATTCATAATTGCAAAGATGTGGAATCAACTTAAGTGCCCATCAGCTCATGAGGGGATTAAGGAAACGTGGTATATGTTTACCAGAGAGTATTACTCAGTCATATAAAGAAATAAAATAATGCCTTTTGCAGCAACTTGGAGGAAATTGGGGACTATTGTCCTAAGTGAAGTATCTCCGGATTGGAAATCACCACATATATTCTCCAATAAAGTAGGAACTACATGAGTGCCAAGAGATGTGAAGGTCATTGGAAATCAAGTAGAAGGGAGGGCGGGAGGAGGGAAGGGTTAAAAACCCATCTAGCAGATTCAATAAATACAATTCAGATAATGGGCACACTGAATGCCCCAACCTAAGCATTATAAAAGATACGCATGTGACTAAACATTTGTCCCCCCCTAAATATTTTGAAATAAAAATAGCACGCATATCTAAAGTGTTAATCTGGTACCCATGAGCCAAACAGGTATACTTACTCTCCCAGGAAAACAATCTCGGTGTTGATCTCCCCGGACTTATGGCGGAGGAAATTCCTCAGGAAAGCAGTGACACTTTCCACGGTGATGTTTCCACAGACCACAATGAACCTAGGCAAGAACACGGGAGGTGGAGCATCTGAGGAAGCAGAGCGTCATCCCATCAGGGTTTGGCGATGAACAACTAGCTGAAGCTTGCTGTTAAACAATCTGGGATTTGAACCTCTCAGACTTCAAACATAGAAACACTGAAGACTGCATCCCCAATGCAAAAAGCAGCATCCTGTTTCTAGTCTTCTATCTCCTTTCAAGTCATGGATGATTTCAAAAATTTGAATTACATATAGCTTTTCAGCAATGCAACAGTAACTATTGCTAGAGTTTTCATATTTATTTATAACTTATAATAGACTTTTCACATGAGTTTTTCACTTGATCCTTGATTGCCCTGTATATTCTTTTTTCCTTGAGGATCCAGAGCTATATATTATGGTGGAGGTAGCACCACATCCCAGGTGCTGTCAGTTTATCTTCCAAATCTAAAATTATACGGTAGTTGCCAAAAGTGAGCCCAAGGAAGAGACATCTAGGACAGGTGCCAAAGTCTAGGTACATAGTTTCTGGGGTGAAAAATTTTCTTAGGATTAGTGTATTTAAAGAAGATAAATTTTCCCTATTAGTCACCTAAGGAAACTGAAAACATAATTTTATCCTAAGTTAACCTTCAATTTTCCAGGCCCTACTGCCAGATTCACTGTGTGCCTTTCCTGAGATGAGTGAGACTCGGCTTATCTAGTTTCCTGTCACTGCTACTCATTATTTTTCATTCACTCCATTATATTTTTTTCTTTCCTCTTCATACTCCTAGGTGAAGAAGGGTTTTCCTCCCACTGAGCTCAGAGGTGATTACAAGAGAGTATGTCTACTTTGAGCCTCCTTCATCTGTAGCAGATGAGACAGAATTTTAAAAGAACTGCATCAAGTTAAAGATCTCCAATCCATTCTTTTCTTCTTCGACATGAAAGAGCATAATGAAAGCTGAAGGAGTATGAACCCATGGAGAAATAGGGAATGAATGTCTCTGGCATGGACAAAGTCAGTGATGTAGGAAGCATTGCAGTGGAAGGAGTAGAAATTGCTTCTCACTCTATCAAACACAGGGCCATGAATGAGCCTTAGATGGTCTAGGGCAGGCATCCTCAAACTATGGCCCATGGGCCACATGCAGCCCGCCTAGGACAATTATCTGGCTACCACATCTCCAGGTGTTTTTGCCACTACTGCCTGTCCTGCTTAGCAGCCAATTCATCCTGGGGCCTGCAGTCCGGTTCTCCAACAATTTGAGGGACAGTGAACTGGTCCCCTAAGTTTGAGGACCCCTGGTCTAGGGGAGGGGAATTTTGCTGAAGACAACTGAATGGAATTAACTATTTTAAATTTGAATCGTGGCTTTAATTTGCTCTATTACGTAAAGTGAGGCATAAGTTAATCATGACATGAACATGAGTAAAACAATTAGTAATGGATGTAAGAGAACAGTTAATGATAGAAATGTAGAAATAGAGAAATAGTGTCATAATTGATAATGTTTAGTGACAGTGAATTACATTATCTGTCATTTTAGTTGATTTTCTGCTCTTACGAATGTCTATATAATTTATAGTTTGTGTGAAGTAGCAAATAACATGTTATGGCATTTATTTTAGCAAGGCCTTCTTCAGTGAATGAAGAGCATTGCAGGTATTTGTATTTTCACCATTGACTACATAGCGAGGTCAGACAATAAGTGTCTAGAAGGAGCTATGTGACTAGTAGAATTTCTCACCCTGAAGAAATTACCCTTGAAGAGCTACTTACTTCTTCCCTTTGACCACTTCATAGCAAGTGGTGTTTTTCCTCTTGTTTGCAAAAAGTTCCACCATTTCAGGGACGTAATTTGCAAATAGTATCTAAAATGATCAACAAAGAAAATCTTAGGGGTTATGATTTTGGTGGATACTCCAACATTCTGAGATTAGAAAGGAGAAAGAAGGTACGTAACACTTTCTCTTACTCTCGGAGGGGCAGGAGGGTTTATCATATTTTAATAGAGACCCCATTTTTCTCCCTTTGGATTTGGTTAAAATTTGGTAAAATGCTTTTCTGTGTTCAAAATGATGAAAGCAAAGATGAGCAGCAAGGTGACCAGTTTCATCCCCTCCTCCCTTCTGAATTCCCCCGACTCTGGCTTTACACTAGTCGGGGCTTGGAAACATTAAACACATGAGACAGCAGGGAGTTAATGGCTAAGGTGAGGGGTACGGCCTGTGCACAGGAGACCATCAGACAGGTGAAGTGAAGAATCCTGCTGTGGTTTCTAAGAAATTGAAATGAAATAAAACGAGGTTTCCTTCGCCCTCACTACCAAGCACAGATGTTGTGTCCTCAAAAGTTTAATACTGGTTTGCTGAGTATTTACTCATTGGGCTGAAAGGAATAGAACTCTATAGATCAAATCTCAAATGCCCTTCCTTTTTAGAAAAAAAAGGCTGAGTCTAACAGGGAAAAGATGAAGGAAGATAGAGCTGTTCAAATCAGCACAGAGTACAGGAAGGCAAGTCAGCCCCACTGCACTGATCATCTTTCATGCCTGGTAAATGAGGAATTGCTCCAGAGAATACAGTTTGGACAACAGGGGATCTGTGCATCTTTTCATTTTCGTTTGACACCAGCTCTAAATAATGCAACACTCATTCTCCAGCCTATATTGCTTTATATATTACTACCCACCACATGCTTTTTTGCTATATTCAAAAGGTATGAAAAATATTCTTCACCAAACTCCCTAGGGTGAAAACCATGATGAAGGTTCGGCCTAAGGTTGTCTTGGCTACCACATCTCCAAAGCCAACAGTTGATGTTGTTGCCATGACCAGGTAGAAGCAGTCAAAATAGGATATATTCTGTGAATTTGTGCCTTTGAGCCAGGGATCGCCAGTATTTTCCACCTGTTCAAAGAGAGAAGAATCAGGACAGGTCTTTGAATGGAATCCAAGAGAGGGTTTTAAAGAATTAGGCAAACCATTACATTCATTTCACTTAATCCAAATAAAATATGAAATGGTTCTCAGGTTGCTGTGAAGGGTTGGAGAACACGGGGTAGAATCTTTATTTCCTTAGTTATGAACACTGCTGACATATGAGGGGGCGCTGGCTTGAGCCCAGCACAGGGAATGCTCCACAGGGGACAGGAGTCCACTGTGACCTCTTCTCATGTGGCCAGATCATTCCATCTTGGAGCCAGGGAACTCCAGAGGCTTTTGGACTGATCAGTTACTATGTATTCTCATTTTAAAATTAGATCAGAATTATTATTAAGCACTTCATCCCAGTGAACTTAATCACACGAATGTTAGTGTCAAAGAAAAAATAAACAGATTTTGCAAGACATTTCCCCCTTTCACACAAAACCTCAAGGATTTAAAGAAAATGCCAAAAAAGTACTTTCTTCTGATTCTTTCCAATAATTCAGAGGGAGCTAAATTTATTAGAATATCTGTTTATATTAAATAAATGAAGTAGGCATTTATTTTTATATTATAGAGAAATTTGTGTAATGTATAATATATATAATGTATGCCATATATTATATACTATAAAATATACATGTATACTTAAATGTATACATAATTTGCGATGAGATGTTTATATATATTTTTCCCTTTGCTTTCCCATTTTTAGACCTTTTTATCCTTGGCATATGCTTTTCTAGACATTTTGGCTTTCTATTTAGCACAAAACATGGTAAAATGTTACAGACACGCCTCTAACTGAGAAAAGTAGGGTTTTTGTTTTGTGGTCAGGAACTGGAGTAGAAATTAGAAAACATGCAGTTTGCTCAGGTATTAAATCACTTTTTAAAAGTGCCAAGTTCTGGTGGCACCTGTAGCTCAGTGGGTAGGGCGCTGGCCATATACATCGAGGCTGGGGGGTTCTAACCTGGCCTGGGCCAACTAAAAGAACAATGACAACTACAACAATAACAACAAAAATAGCCGGGCATTGTGGCGGGCGCCTGTAGATCTAGCTACTTGGGAGGCTGAGGCAAGAGGATTGCTTGAGCCCAAGAGTTTGAGGTTGCTGTGAGCTGTGATATCATGGAACTCTACTGAGGGTGACAGCTTGAGACTCTGTCTCAAAAAATAAAAATAAAAAAGTGGGGTGGCACCTGTGGCTCAAAGGAGTAGGGCGCCAGCCCCATAAGCCAGAGGTGGCGGGTTCAAACCCAGCCCCAGCCAAAAACTGCAAAAAATAAAATGAAAAAGTGCCAAGTTCTGGCTCACCCTCCAGTTTAATGAGTAGGTTGTGAGCATGGAGATCTGCCGGCTCTTACTCCAGAGCCCACAGAGGGAGGTAGAGGTACCATATCTACACCTAACCTCCACGGTGCACAGTGAAGAGGGTTGCAAACTCTGCCAATCTGCTTCCATGACTTCTGGAGTCTTCACTCTTAAATCATAGCTGCGTTCATTAATGCCTTTATGGGATACAATGTGCTGGTTTTATATACAATTTGAAATACTTACAACAAACTGGTTAACACAGCCTTCACCACACTTTCTTAATTATTGTGCTAAAACATTCATACTCTACACTTAGTAGATTTGACCTATCTTAAGAAAACCACGCTTTAGTTAATCTCTCCTATATATACATATTGGGAAAGTGTTCTTTCCTTTTCTTTCTTTCTTTTTTTTTTGTTTTGTTTTGTTTTTGTTTTAGAGGCAGAGTCTCACTTTATCGCCCTTGGTAAAGTGCTATAGCGTCACAGCTCACAGCATCCTCCAACACCTGGGCTTAAGCAATTCTCTTACCTCAGCCTCCCAAGTAGCTGAGACTACAGGTGCCTACCACAACACCCAGATATTTTTTTTTTGTTGCAGTTTGGCCGGGGTTGGGTTCGAACTCGCCACCCTCAGTATATGGGGCCAGTGCCCTACCCACTGAGCCAGAGGCGCCAGCCAGGGACAGTTTTCTTTTAACTTAAAACTACAAGGTGTCTTTTGTAATGTTTTCACTCAGGGATTCAATATTAATCTTCATTATTTACTTATTTGTTATAAACCACATTTATTCCAACCTTCACAACAATTTAAACAACTCTTTCAAGTTTAGTTTGCTATCTTTGGGGACTATTAATTTGGTGTTTCGAATCTCTCCCAGCTTCCCCAGCACCTGGCCAGTTGCTGGGAGAGGGGACAGCCAGGCTTCTGCTCTTCCTCCGAACCCAGTTACATCAGCTTGCCAGTCCAGTACAGAAAACCAGGCAAGGTGAGAGCTAAGATCACGGACTAACATTAAGATACAGAATCATCATCTATTTTAACTCCATGTTCAAAACTGAATTTTTACATTTCTGAATGTTACATTTCAACTTTAGATGAAATATGCCATGAAGTAGAAAGACAGAAGGACCCTATCCCTTTCCTCTCACCTGCCCATCTACATCTGTCTCAGCGATATTGTTTCTACAGCTCAGACACATCCTAGTCCGTAACCACAATTACCTTGGTTATGTCTTAGCTCTACTTTAAACCCATTTGTTAACCACCATCACTACTCTTTAACATGGCTTCCCCATTCTTCAGTTCTTAGTTTCGTTTAATCTCCTTTACGCCTGGAATTTATCAAGATACTTTTTTTTTTTTTAGCCGATATACTTTATGACCTTCAAAGGATACATTTTTAATAGGGGTTCATGGGTACAATTTTCCCTTGAATGGTTAAAATGACAAGGCAGGTTACACTTTCTTTCATACAAACTTGGTAAACACTGTTCCATTATCTTCTAATGTTGATTGATGTTGTGAAGAAATCTGACAGTAATTTCATTTTCCAGTCCCCCCCCCCCATAAAGACCTTGCTCTGTTGTCTTAGCTCTCTCCTTATCACTGAAGGTCAGCATGTACTCCAAACTATAGTTGGAATTAGTAATTTATAATCATTATTCCTGGGATATAGTCTACCCTTTAATCTACAGATTTAAGACTTTATTTTAAAACACTTTCTTGGCACCATTTATTGTGTTCTTATATGTTGCAGAACGCTGAGTGTGTATAATATATTGAATCAACATTGCCCGTCTTTCACATTTCTCCTCTCTAATCATTTGAGTATCTCAGCTCTTTCTCATGTCAGGATTTATGCTTCAGTCTTGTCCACCATGTTTCTGAACTTGTTTTTTCACATTTATTACATTTTGCTTCCCTCTGAAGTGGCTCTCCCTTTGTTTTTTCCTGTCTTCTTTTCCCCTGACGTTTTTCAACTCCCTTTTCAATTCCTGCTATTGTTTAATAATTGCTTAGTTAAAACCTTATACATCTTACACAAAGAACCGTTTTCAGCTCTTTTAAAGCCTTACTTATTATTTATTTATTTCTATACAAAGACTGTTTTGGCCACTGTCACCCTAATGTCTCTTGGTTCTCTGCCACACATTTTTTCATCCTTCATGTTCTTGCAAATGTGTGTCACTACAATCAATGTATCTGTGTTCTTTACTATTTTTGAAAGAATTTAAGCATAAGCATCATACTGATACCTTTCTGGTTAACCCCCATCTTTGGGTGGTGTCAGCTTTTAACTGAGGGTAGCGTGAGAATGAGATGGTCAGTTAAAGACATCAAGGCTTTTTTACTTTGCGTAGTCATTTCAAATATCCTTTAAACACAGTCTGCACAGCTCTTTGATCTGGGATATAGTACTTCCAGGTTTTTAATACTCTAAAAATTGGTGTGGCTCAAAGTGGAACCCTGTAATTTGCAAGCCATCCTTCTTTCTCCACATGTGTCCTTGTTGGAGGTCTCACCGGGGAGACCAACGTCCAGCAGGGGCACATGCACACATGCTTGGAGGGGCAAGTAAAGACTTGCACTATTCACACAGAGCTGGGAGAGACTGTGTCCAACCCAGGAGCCCCTGCAAGTACCTGCTGCACAAAAGGGACAGCTGCTCTCCACACGCAACTACTGGCTGCATAGGGAGAGAGGGGTTGCCAGAACCTTGCATTTTCCCAGAGAATCCAAAAATCTGGGTTTTTATGTAAGCTCTCCGTAAAAGTTAGTGACTAACAACAACAAAAAAACCCCAGAAAATAAAAACACAATTGGACCCAATGAAATATGCCTGCAGGCCACATTTAGCCTGAGAGTTTGTCATTGGAACTGCCATTAAAGGCAAGAAAGCCCTGAAGTGTCCTCCGGGAGCACTCTGTGATTCCTCCATAGCACTCTGTGACGACCAGCAGGTCTCTAGGGACAGAGGGCTGCTTCTCACCCTGTAAGCCCCTAGGTCTGATTCCCTGAACCCAGGAATCTGACTTTACTGCTATGATACTACTTCCCAGGAAAATCTCTCTCTTACTTGAGAGCTGAGTAGGGATGTGGCTGGTTTCAGATTTCCTAAAGGTTTGTATCATAGTTTGTATTTGGTTTTTGACATTTTTCTTGTTGCCAATATTTTTAATGTACTATAATCCCTTAACCAATCATCCAAACACTTTCAGACAGTATAGTTGTCTCCAGTCTAGATTTTGTTTTATTTGTTTTTCTCTTTTTTTCTTACTATGGGACACAGCTAGCACCTCAGTGAAGGCAAGCTGAGGCCCCAGCTGGCCAGCACCAGCATAACAAGCATCACCTGCTGGAAGTACATTAAAATCAATAGAAAGTATTGACATTTTTTTCAATGAATTGTACATGGTGAGTTTTTAATATTTTTTTCATTTATTTGTTTAAATTGGTTGTGAGAGATGGTCTCAATTGAAAGAGATTTCTACATTTTCCGTTTTGCTTTGCTTTTCTCAAAGGACTTTTACCATCTCACTTCAATCTCTGCTTCTTTGATGACTGTTCTTTGACAGTCATCAAGCAGTGAAGTCCAAAGGTTTTTTCATACGGCTTGAACCAATTTACTCATTGTTTATTATGAGGATAAGTGCCAGCTTTTCCTACAATAAAGGAGGTAGTAAGGTACACGGGCTGATTTCAAGAGAATCAAAGCCCTGGAACTTCCTTTTGCAAAGGCAACTCCTCCCTTACAGCACTCCACCATTTATAAGTCTGAAATTCACTAACTGGCTTCATTTTTTTAGCTAGCTTCTTTCCTTCTGTCCTTCTTTACTTCCTTTTTTTTTTTTTTTTCAGACAGTGCCATTCTCTTGCCTAGCCTAGAGTGCCATGGTGTCATCACAGCTCATGGCAACCTCAAGTGATCCTTCTGCCTCAGCCTCCAGAGTAGCTGGGACTATGGGCACCTGCCAGCACGCCCACCTTCTAGTTTTAATAGAGATGGAGTCTTGATATGCTCAGGCTAGTCTTGAACTCCTGAGCTTCAGCCATCCACCCACTTCAGCCTCCCAGGGTGCTAGGATTACAGGTGGAAACCACCACATCCAGCCACTTCCCTTCTTTTTTTTTTTCCTTGCTAAAATATCAGGACCCCCCAAAAGAAAGATACGGCAATACATTTCACCTGTTGTTTATTATATTTTGGGAACTTCTTAGGTTATAAATCTTTATCTAAGGGCAGGTTTTGAGAATTGGAAAGTGGGAACATTGATAACTTCAATTCAGGGAACACATATTTGGGTGCAGAAACCCTAAAAGGGGAACTAACGAGGTGAAGCTGTCACTGGGTTACAGTAATAGAGACGGGGCACTGCAGGCTCCCTGTCCTTTTTCCAGGGACTGGGATGAGACACTCACCAAATGAATGAATCCTGCCGCAGTGAACCAGACGCTGAAAATCATCGATAGCAGTTTGGAAAACTTCACTGAATTACTAGAGGGAGAAAGACAAAGGGCTGTTGGGTCTTGCTGGCAGGTTCCAGAACAACACAATCACCTCATTCTCTAAGACTGGGGTCCCCAACCCCTGCGCCAGGGACTGGTGGTGCTGGTCGCGGCATGTTAGGAGCTGAGCCCGCAGCGGGCGGAGCCCAGTGGACCTTGAGCAGAGCCGGCCAAGTTTGCACCACCCCCACCGCTCACGTCAGCGCCGGAGCTCCGCCTCCTGCCAAGTCAGCGGCAGCTTCAGAACCTCCAGGAGCCGGAACCCTCCTCTAAGACTGTTCTTTCCAGGGATCTAGGATGGGTGCTCCTTGTGACAACCTAAATGCCTCATGATCTGTGGTGGAGCTGTAATGTTTAAGATAAGGACTAGAAACAAAAACCTCCCAAAGAATGAATGAAGATAAATACATTCAGAAAAGAAATCAGACAGTTGCTGCAACAAAATACTAAGTAACAAAACAGTATTAATGCAAAGAAAGCAACATTCACATTGTCAAATAAGAGCATGACCATTATAGAACGCTTTGACTCTGAGGTTCAGTACAGAGTCATCAACCAACTTCCCACTATTCTTCCTTCCAAAGTCTCAAAAAATAGACAACCAACATTTACAAATAAAAACAAAAGATAGAGCTTTGAGCCTTTTTGATTCTTTGAAGGCAAAGGGTGGAGACCTGCTGGTCACATGTACATGCAGAAATGAAAGAATAATGGGAAGAAAAAAAAGCTGTAATGAGCTTGAATCATCCTGAAATTAACACCCACTTCTGGTCCATGATGAAATTGTCTTTCATGAAACTTGTCCCTAGTGCCGAAAAGGTTGGGGACCGCTACTCACAATGTGATTGATGAACCAGAAGAAGGGAGGTGTTCCCCAGGAACGTGTCGGAGCGCAGAACCCCGGCCCCACGCTGCTCTACCCATCCGCGTTGTTACAAGACCCTCTGCTGGATTCACAGACACATGACAGCTTAAGACGCACAGCTGTAAACTCACTGGTCACATAAGTGTGTTTTAAAAAGTTTGAATTTGGCTGTGATATCCACTGACCTGATAATATCTCTTTTAAAAGTATACTTTATGAGCAGCGTCCGTAGCTCAGTTGGCAGGGTGCCGGCCACATACACCAAGGGTGGCAGGTTCGAACCCGGGCCTGCTAAATAACAATAACTACAACCAAAAAATAACTGGGTGTTGCAGCAGGCACCTGTAGTCCCAGCTACTGGGAGGCTGAGGCAAGAGAATCGCTTAAGCCCAAGAGTGGGAGGTTTCTGGAGAGCTGTGATGCCATGGTACTCTACCCAGTGCAACAGCTTGAAACTCTGTCTCAAATATATATATATGAAATACACACACACACACA